TTTGCCAAGTTCCATTCCAGTTCTTTCTGCACAGTTAGAAGTTCTTCAATTTTGTGGTCACAGAAATGCTGACAAACACAGTTGTATGCAATGGTGTATATTAGTTAGAGCATTCAGTTCATTTTTTCTTTTAAGGTCTTTCTTTCATTAAGTTAGTTTCACACACTGCTGTTTATGGTATCAACAATTTCTCCCTTCCTTCCTTCATTCTCCCCCTTAAATGACACTCATTTCCCAAGGACAGTGTCTGTATTGCAGTTCATTGTCAGATTTGTAGCTTATAAAGAGAAGCTATTCAATGTGTTTGTTTAATGGTTCTATTTAATGCTGTCATGCATGTTGCTTTTATTTTATTTCTACCAAGACACTGATCTTCTCTCACTTTTAATGGCCACTGTTTGTTGCCAAGCTAACTTTTGAATAGCCTGGGTTAAACTTATGTTACCACTCAGGCAGTCAACTTTTCAAAAAAGGATGAAACAACTTCTTTGTTTAGAAAAGGAGCGAGAGGAGGAGAGGGAAATGCTTGTTTCAGGTATAGACTTTTCCTGCAAATTGTGAGTGCAGTGAGACTACTTCTTCCCTCACCCTACTAGCTGCCAGTAGAAATTGATTTATTTACATTAGTAGTGCTACTCCTGGATTGAAAGGCTTCCATTGTTTGGCTGAGCTGGTATTTAGTTAACACTTGAGCGCTGCCTGTGTGCAGCATATCCAACTACGGAAATGACCATATTGCACATAACTGTCCATTCTCTCCCTCATCAGCCTCCCTCCAGCTCCAGCATGTGTGTTTGGATTGTAATGTTCCATCTGTGGACTAAATATTTTTCTTAATCATACAAGACGACTGTTTTAAAACCTCAGAAGTGCATGTGTGTGTGTCTATTGCTTCCAGAGCTGGTAGGCAACATCAGCATTCCACGGCTGGCTGGGTGAGCCAAATTTAGAAGCAAACTAAATCCCAGAGTAGTCTGGGTCTTGATTCATAAAGATAATGCCTCTGGTAGAAAGGGCACCCATCTTGTTCAGAGGTGCCCTTTTAGGATTGTCTTCAGATTTCTCACTAGCTGTCACGGTCTGTGTCTTCAAGAGGAGAGTATTGCTTTTAGTGTGGTGCATCAGTAAACTTTTTAGTAACTGCAAGAAGGTGTTGCCTCTGAAATTCCTTTACTGGAGCACACAGTAAGGAGCAGGCAGAAGTGGCAGTTCTAACATGAACAACATATCCAAGCATGTCTACACTGCCCCACGTAATCTTGTGTGAAAAAAATCCAAAAGTAGCACTGTCTAAAGGTACAGAGCAGCACCATGATGCAACCAGGAAAGCAGAGATAATAATTTGAACACTGAACATGCTTATACGCAGCTCTCTTCATTCTCTTCCCTCCCCATCCCAAAAAAAGCAAAAGCTCTGGTTCTGATTAGTTTGAAGATTTTTCGAGCATCTTGATGCAGACATCCTCTTCAGTACTAATGACTATTAGTACTGGTTTTATACTGTAAAAAATAACATCACTTCCTCCAGATTCTTTCTTGGAGATGGCTGACTGCTTTTTTCCTGTAGTTTTGATGGAGATGGAATACTCTAGAACACATCTTGGGCATCGTTGTTCTATGATCAACTAAATTTTATAACGGAAGATACTGAAGTCTTGGGGTTCCTCTCTTCTAAATACTGCTACCACGTGCACTGCCTGCAGTAGGAGGCAAAGGAAGAGAGGTTTCTCAAGTCCTTTATGTCCTCTATTTGTGAGCTAGGTTCCTAGCTTTTCCACCAAGAGAAAGCCATGAACAGCACTGCCTCCATACCCCTCTCCCCATCGTATTTCTCACCATATCTCTCAGATGTTTTCTTGTAGAGTAGAGAGCGTGAAAATATTTCTCTGTTTGGGTAAGGAAATGGATGTTTTGGGCGGTTTGGTGTCCATTTGTCTCTCTTTGTACCCATCTACGTACCTGCTGCCTCTTTTCATAGCTTGTTAAAGAAAAACACTGTGCAGTTAATTTAACAAACTCTCTCAAAGAGGCAGAGAGGAAGCAAGCAGGACACAGCAGGGTGGGGAAGACAGAAAACAACTGTCTAGTGATTAATGCCGCACTTGGACCTATAGAGCCTGATTTTTGGGGATAGAATTGAGGCAAGTGGGGAAAGTCATCAGCATGTCGCTCTTATGTATGAATGGCAAATGGCTGTTTTAGCATTTCTTTCTGTATCAGCCAAGCTTAGCCCACTGCCTTTTTTTATTAGCGTGGGGTTTGGGGATGGTTTTTGGGGTTTGGGTTGGGATATTTTGTTTGTTTGTTTGTTTGTTTTCCTTTGAGCCAAATGTCCAAGGATCCGCAGCACAAACTGTATTTCCTTTACATGTGTGGCTGAATTTTATGGAGTGAAGGTATGAGGTAGGCAAAGCTGTGGATCTTTTAAGGGGTTTTAACTATGCAGCTCCTTAATTCCAGACTTCTTATGTGTGTATGTGATCATTTCTGAAGTTCTAGCCTTTCTTAACTTCATTTAATTTCTGAAGTAAAATATTCTTTTAGAGCTTTGTTACACTAAAGTTACTGAAACACAATACAGAATTCAACTTCAGGAGGTGTTTTCTTTGATAGCTTTGACTGCTATGGGAGCTTAATGAAAACATCTGTAAGCAGAATGGAAGCTAGTTTAATATTACACTACTATTACTATAAAATATAATCTCAAAATATTTCAGGCAGGGCATAATAATAGTAACCATGGAAACTTTGCTTGAAGATTTGAAAGGATGGGGCATCTGGTAGGCTCGCTCACTTGTAGGCAGGAGAAAATTATGGGTTGCAGTTTAGATTGAGGAGGAGAATTGGTAATGAGGAGAGGGGCTTACTCTTGATGCAGCGGTGGCTGCTCCTTAACACGAAGTTTGGTTGGTACATAAATGTTACGGTGTTCTTATCCATGGTGGAGAACTCATAGATTTTAATAGAAAAATTGACATTTCTTAGCCAACAAGATCTGGGTTTATTTCTTCTGTGTGTTTTCTGCATTGAGGTTTTGGGTTTGCTTTTTTTTTTATATAATTCTTGTGGTGTGGTTTTGGGGGGTTTGTATTGGGTTTTTTTTCCCCAAAGGAAGCGGAAATTTCCATAGAAAAAAATTTTAGCTTACACAAACCCATCAGGAGAGGGGGAGGGAGGGAGGAAAAAAGTCATTTGTGTTTTGGGGTTTGGTTTGGGTTGGGTTTTTTTAATGCCTGACTATTTTGAGTTGGCTGAGTATTTAATATTGATCTTGATGAACAGAAACTAGGGCTGATGAAGGGAATCTTTAATCCTTGTCTCTAAGGTTACGGTTTCTAGTAATAAATTTTCTATTGTTTTTATCAAAAAAACCCCACAACATTATTAAGAGGAGCTCAGCAACTTTGCCTAGGAGAAAGAGAGCACGCACACAAGTGAGAGGCTAGGACTCTTCACGCTGTTAGAGGCATTCACAAGTTTTGGTGCCCAGCTTGAAGCTCGTACTAGTTGGCTTTGAAAATGAGACTTCTGGTTCCTTTGTGGCACCCTGGCTTTGACTGTTCAGTTCACAAAGTGCATGTGTGTGAGAGCAGTGTATTTCTAGTGCATCCGTTATGTGGAGTCTTCTGTTTTGTTTTTGGTTTTGTTTAACTCTGGCTTAGGAACAATAGTTTTTTGACTTCACAATATCTCATGTAATGGTGCGTGCTTCAACCTGCATGGAATGTGGTTTCCCATCCATGTGGAGTGACTCATTTTTTACAAATGTTGGGGCAGAGCAGTACATCAGAAAGTATAAAGCATTAAAATCTATGAACAAACTTCCCTCTAGAATCTGCAAATTCTGTGCTGGTGTGCCTTGTCTGGTCTAGAAGATGTGTAACAGTCGCAGCTCTTAACAAGGTTTGACAGGGATTGCTCAAAACCTGTTAACGAAAGGTTGAGCTCTGGTACTGCTTAAGGAGGTTTCAGTGATAACTGAACAAAAAAGAGATAAAACATCTTCGTCTCCCATTCCATACACACAATCATTTGAAGTACAGGGATTGAATTAAGTCTTTGAAAAAACTGGAACGCCCGTACAATGCAAGTTGAATTTCAGGTATGTTTTGATTATCTTTAGGTTTCTGGATGGAACAAATTCCATATTCTGTTACTGTTTTAAAAAGAGAGAGCCTGGAAACTTGTGACCCTTTGTTTTTGTCTTGTATGTGTCAATAAGAACTGATACAGATACTCCAGTTCTGATCATACAGCCTTATATGGGACAAGGAAACTAGCTAACTCAACCATGTGAGAGTTTTAGGTAATAGCGTCATGTGGTAGCATAATTGTCTTGCCTACTTGGCAATATTTTTAGATGAAGCAAGTTTGAGATTAGCTAAGTGACTTATTTTAGCATTGCTTGCAGTAACTTGTTAGTAAGATGGCCTTTTACTTCAGGCAGCTGGAAGTGATTGTAGAGTTCAAATATCCCCTGATGCCCTGTAAAAATATAAATAGAAGTAGAAGTGAGATAATGGTCAGAATATCTACAATTGGAGAAAATGCCATCTGGTGCCAGAGCAGAGGGGGAAAAAAAAAGTTGGGCTGGCTGGATTCAGGCACCAGCTGAACAAAAAGAGTAGAGTGCTGGTAGGGTCAGTCTCAAATGCAGACATCCCAGAAATAAAAGAACAGCCTTTTTAAGGCTAAGGCTACTCTGTGAGAGTCTGCTTCTATGCAGAAAATGTATCTGTTATTAACAAAACTACTCACAGTCTTTAACTTTACTCTTCTGAAAACTTTATAATGTTAGCATTTTGATAGCTTGTCATTCAGATTTTGAGTCAAGTTTGTTCAGGAATTGATGCCTTGAAGAAGAAACTAAATTAAGATTAGAATTTACTAGGCTTGTTTGTTTGAAATGACTCAGTAAGGTTAAAGAGAGAGTTCTGTCTTTAAGTAGTTCAGTTCATATGTGTGGCCCATCTCACTTGTTTCCTCTTATCTTTTCCCAGTTCGCTGCTCCGCTATGGTGGAAACCTCTCCCTTCAGAGTGCCATGAGCGTCCGATTCAACAGCAATGGAACCCAGCTGCTGGCACTGCGTCGGCGCCTTCCCCCGGTCCTCTATGACATCCACTGCCGGCTGCCTGTCTTCCAGTTTGACAACCAAGGGTACTTCAACTCATGTACTATGAAGAGCTGCTGTTTCGCAGGTGATCGTGATCAGGTAATAAGCAAGGAATGCTGCCCCAAATCCCCAGAGTTTCCATGAGTGTTTGAAAACACCTCTGTAAGGTTGGGGTTTTTTTTCTGATTCAGGAGATAAAACAGGAGGCAGGACACATGTAGGCTTACCTCAGAACTGTTTTGCAACATAGGCTCTGAATGAATTAAAACATATATGAAAGCATGGGATAAATTTTACCTCTTGTTTGATGTGATCTACTGCTTACTTGGAAGGTGATATTCATAAGAAAAATATTTGCAGAGGTTTTTTAGGTCCAATTAATATGATTTTAGAACCATGAGTAGACAGTATTATCTATGTATGATAAGGAAATATCTTCCTTTCATCTCAGTATTGCTACTGAGCGCGGTAGAGGCAATCCTACAAAACATAAATATTGTGGATTTATATAGAGTTATTGATATTTCAAAATATAGTGTTTCTCCTTTAATACTATACTACTAGATCAGATTATAGGTCTTCATAGTTCAGTGTTCTGTAAGCAGTGATGGCGGATGGTGAGGAAGGAATAGTTTGTTACTTCACTGAGGCAGGACTCTGTCCCTACTACAAATCACAAAGAAATAGGTCACACATAAAGTGACTAACTGCAGTTTGTATGAATCTAGAGCTGCATATTGTCTTTGGGCAGCTGTATTTAATAACCACTAACACTGTTTAAGGACAAAAAATGTATTTTCAAGCCATGATGAAATAAGACTGAAAATTTCTTTGCTGTCATCAATAAAATTCCTGCACTCAGAATTTGGTCATTAATTCTATTGCTGCTGCTGCAGGAGGCAGAGTTGAGCTTCTTTCAGACTGGAAGTAGGAAATACATGTACGTCACTGAGTTTGAGCAGTGTTTCTGAGTTTTACATGGGTTTTGGCAGAAGGAGTCTGAAAATGCAATAACGAAACCATCTTAAAAAAGAGAGTAGTTTAAAGAATGGGCAAACACATGTATTGTTTAAGAAAACTGCTGATGATTTGTGGTCCATTATTTAGTCAGCCTAAAGATGACACACTCTTCTCCTCTGGAAGTCATAGCAGACCTGTGTACACTCTGACATACAGTTTAGCTTCTTATCTGTTACTGAAGATCTAGATAAAAGCCTTAGTGCCTGTTGTGGCTTTCTAAGCCATTTTCTTATGGGTATGATGTTATTTTAATGGGAAAATATGGCTGTTCTGTATCAGGTTGATCTGGTACTTCAGAAGCCTGCATTTTTTAGAAACTTGATATTCTTTTGGCTTGACAGACTTTCTGTTCAGAGAAGTAGCAGCACATAATGCTACTAATCAGTTGGAAATCAGAGCAAAAGACACTTATATTTCCTTATAAATGCTATAAGATGCTAATAGGGAAAATGAAGTTTAATATGGAATATTAGAGAGATGTGGAGTTTGACATTTAGATACCTGCTCATACCCATCCTCTGACTTGGAAGGAGAAAAGATAATGAAGTTGCAGAAAATGCAAGCATTTGGTCCAACTGTGTATATGTCTGAAACTGTCCTGGTAATGCTCAAGTTCAGCTGACTAAGATTGTCAACACTATGGATAGACCTTAGGGACTGCCTTTTACAGAGAACCCAATTCCAGGTGTATCTAGAAAAGAAGGTTATACAGTTGGAACCTATTGTAAGATATAGAAGATGAATAAAAAAAAAAAAAGTACAATGCTTTTTGAGTTTTGCCCTTCTATACAACTAGTATGCTTTTGTTTTTTGGTGAGTTTTGTGAGTTTTAAATAGAGAATTCACCAAAAAAGAAATAAATCTGTTTCCAGTTTAATCTGGTTCCAGCCCTCTCTCCCATTTAATATTGCTGTCCTTCGCCTTAATAAAGGATGTCTTTCATTCAAGATCCATGCAAAGTGAGCTTCATAGAATTTCTTGCTTGTATTTCCTTGTAGGATCAAAACTTTTTATGGGCTAAGGCTCATTTGAAGGGATCTAAGGATAAGAAAGTTGTGTTCAAATTACGAGTGGCATTTGTGGTAGGAAGGCTTCTTCAGAAATTTTCTCTCATTGCATCGCTGATTTTCTCTGTCTTCGATTTTTCTTTTCATCTTTATTAAACTGATGACTCAATCTTTTTTTTCTCTTTTAAGCTGTCTTAAATAGTTAGGTTTTAATACTTCATACAGAGCCTAGTAATTTAAAAATGTGCCTCTCATGTGTAGTCTGCACAGTTAGTTCATCTGATAAAGTTGCATTTTGACTCTGTATTTTAACCGTAACAAGAAAGGGATATCCTTAATTCCTCAGCACATAGAATGCAGTTGCACTGGGAAAAAAGTGAACTGTTGAAAGGGAGAGACCTTTCTTACCTTTCTTATCCAGCAGAGGTGATGCAAGACCTTTCACTCATTCAACTTCCTAACCTGGCAGAAGCATTTACTTCTTTTTCTGGGTTAATGACTTATATTGACACTCGGAGGGCTCTGGCAAGCGTTTGAATGCAATATAAGGAAGGGATCAGAGGGTGAGTGAGAGATGGAGAGATGGCCTTTCAGCGCTGTGAGACTTGGCTCCTCACAGAACTACAGCCTTTGCTAATCTTTCTCTGAAGTTTGTACATGGAAAATGGTTTACCCACAGAAAGTTTTCCTGTAAATCATGACCATCAGGGTTTAAAAACCCACAACTGTTTGTATCTTCCTACTTGCCTTTGGAAGTTTTCTGTAACCCAGTGGTGAAAATCTACAGAAAAGGTAAATAACACCATGTTCCATGTGGTGCTGTTGCTTTCTGGTATAGCAAAAATGAACAAGTTCTGAGCTGCAAGCACACAATTTAGGGGTTTTCTTAGAGATCACCCTTATATTTTAAGAAATGAAATACTTAAGTTCCCATAATAATCAGATTGTAATTCTTACTTTGACAAGGTATATATGTTAAATTAATACAATTTCTTTGCTCAAATAAAACACAAGACTACTAGTTGGGGAGCAGTTTGATTGGTTCGTCTATTGATGGCAGTTAGGCTCTGTATACTGATCTTTTCTCAGTATTGTCTTTTCAGTGCCCACAGATTGTGACAGGTACTCAGCAGGACTTGAGTCCAGAAGTCCTGACTTGTCACTCTAGAGGGGAGCCTGCTACCAGCAGGCATGCAGTGATCTGCATACCAGCTGAGTTTTTTTGAGCACCTGTGATGCAAGTAGATGGAATGCTCTTAACAAAGAATGAAATACCATTAATGCTTTAAGGAACAAAACTCAGAAAGATTCACCTGTTGACCCCAATGATTTTTTTTTTTTTTTAAGTTTAAAAGAACCCATTATGAAGTGCTTAGGTGATTTTGAGTTGTTGCAGGTATTTTGTGTGTGTGGGTTGTAGCACAAGCTAAGTGACAGAGATCTTGGAGGATGAACAGCTTTGATTCATTTTGTGTCCTTGCAAACTGTTGTTTTCCTCCAAAAGTGTTACTGCCCTAGTCCTTGTGAACCTGATTTGAAAATGAGCGAACAGTATATGCAAGCATTTTTCTTAGAAATGCCACAGTCAGGCTTTTCTTGTTTCTTATAACTACCAAAGCTTGAGAGGCAATGTTTAGCTGATGTTTTATTTGCACCCATTTATAATTGCTTTCATTTGCTCCTCTCAGATTTCTGTCTTTGTCCATGTCATGAGTTTAATGACCTCATTCACATGACACTGATTTTTCTTTTCTTTGTATGAGAGCTGTGATGTTTGTGGATAAACAGGTTCAAAATTGTAGGCCATTTGTGTTATCCAGGAGCTCACTTGAGTCATACAGCTGTGCAAGGGAGGAAGGATAAGATAGCTGCCCGCTCCCTCTGTTGACTATAGAGGTTTATGTGAGAGCATGATTTATCCATCCTTCTGGTACAGGCATCCGGGCCCAGAATGTTAAAGGCAGTTTGTTTATGCACCTAACTCCCACTGACTTTACCCTAGTGTGCACAAGTGTTTGTTTACATACACATCATAAGATGTGGGAGAATCTCAGGTTGTGTCAGGGTACTGGGGGAGGTTCCATTCTTCTTGTCAGCATTAGAATTTGGGAAGCGTTGTTTGAATACTAAGGATTTTTAGTTGTTAAACTGGTGTGGAAAGTATCTGCTTGGATCTGAGGATACAGGAAGTATCAAAGGTCTTCAGGTACCCAAATGTGTTTTTAAGCGTAGGAGCCTCAGAAGCCATGGTGATGGGCAGCAGCAAAAAAGACCCACAAAAAACAAAGCCCCCTCCAAACTAAAATAGACCAAAAGCTTTTCTTGCTCAAGAATTGTTGCCCATGTCACAATGATGAATGCTATCAGCTTATTCCTTTTTTTCATGTAAGATCAACTGCTTATTGCCTGCTTTAAAAAAGGCGGCAGTGGGGAGAAATAACTTATACCCTGTGAGTCAAACAAAAAGTGTCTTGACTCTGGCATGCCCTCAGACATTACATCACCACTCAGCCTTTTCTGTTGACATTACACTGGTATAGGAGAGTTTCAGGAATGCACTGCTCACGGTACTGCAGACTGCTCCAACTCCCTATAAAGTTACAGCCTTCATTATGTTGAATTCTGCGTGCTAAATAGCCCTGGTTTGGGACAACACAGTTTTTAGCAGGACAGAATTCTTACATGAATGTAACCCTTCCAAGAACAGGATTAGCTGTATAGGTGCCGGGGTCTTACATGGCTGTGCGTTGCCTTTGTAAAAAAATAGGACTTTTCTTCTGTGTTCTTCTGTCCTCTAACTTACAGGCTATTTATCTCAGGAAGTAGTACTTATCAATGTCTAGCTTTAAAAACTAGAAAGAAGACAGGGAATTATTCTTCTAAGGAATATATTGTGAGTTTCCTGTCCACAGAAGACTTCTTAATGAATAGTAGCTTATTGCAGTCAGCATTTCTTAATATATGAAAAGCACTCAGTGTGCAAATACGTTGCTGTCCTTGGATAAAAAGAAAATCAATGTCTTACTCTGTCTTAAATTGGCTGCTTCCAAGAATGACTGATGAGGTTGTATT